CTAGTGTTGTATGTGGTTTGAACACCGGCGGCAAAACAATTATTTACTAGTGAACCTGATAGATTTCACCCGCTCTGAACATGTTCTCGTTTTGCCCATTGTCTGGCGTAGTTTTCCACAGATTACAATAGTATCTTGATATCAACTTTCAAAGTGTTAGTAGATCTCTATATACCTTGTACTGTTTATGGAAAGTTCTCCTTTGCAAATATTTAGATCATCCGTTACTGCCTTCACAGCTGGACCATGTATGGGGGAGGTAGAAGGACACACTGAAGGAGGAGGTTTCTACGGTCATCTAACTTCAGCTATTGTAGTGTCTGTTTGTAGTTGAAGAACGTGCCAGCAGTATGTGTTTAGAATACATGTAAACATGATTGGGACGCTTCTAAATATATAAACACGGTGAAAGGATAGCTTCTTTTGATGTCGGACAAAAAGTAAACAATGAGAACACTATTATACTACAGGCATTTAGGTTAAATATTGTGATCCAACTGGTTTTCAGCCTCATTAATTGAGAGCTCCTCTCAGATGAAAAAGACACATTAATTTTAGGAAAATATATGATATCGTCCTTATCTATATGGTTCAGTATGTGCTAGTCTATTAACGTACTCAACACATAGATAGCCTTTGTAGATTTTCCTTTTAATTTCCCCAAGGGAAAACCCACTGTAGCTACATGTTTGATTTTTTTCGATTTATTTCAGTGAAATATTCAACCCAGTTCTGCAAGAAACCAAAGTGTGAGTATTTCTTGATATTGTATGTGGGTATGCTTAGAGGTTTCTTAAGACAGGGATTAATGGTGTTTAATTGTGATTGAAGTTTTATGTGATCACTATCAGTATCAGAGAGTTACCTGAGACTGGCAGTTTGTGATCGATTAATTCTGTCATGATTACGGTAGATATTACGGTACTATTAGACATTACCTAGAACTGAACAAAGACACGTGTTTCTAGTATGTAGTATATGTAGACTACGTTTAAATGTAACACGAAGTTTAAATGTTAAAACACCCTTAACGAGTTTTATAAATCCCATATCAAACGGAAACACGTGTGAGATTCTGTTTATAGTATGTAGACTAAGTTTAAATGTAACATGAAGTATTATTTATCGAGATGAGTGTTTATGGTATGTAGACTAAGTTTAAATGTAACACGAAGTATTATTTATCGAGATGAGTGTTTATAGTATGTAGACGAAGTTTAAATGTAACATGAAGCATTATTTATCGAGATGAGTGTTTATGGTATGTAGACTAAGTTTAAATGTAACACGAAGTATTATTTATCGAGATGAGTGTTTATAGTATGTAGACTAAGTTTAAATGTAACATGAAGTATTCTTTATCGAGATGAGTGTTTATGGTATGTAGACAAATTTAAATGTAACACGAAGTATTATTTATCGAGATGAGTGTTTATGGTATGTACACTAAGTTTAAATGTAACACGAAATATCATTTATCGGGACGAGCGTTTATAGTATGTTGATTTTGTGATGTATTTGTTTAAGACGTTGCGATGAGTGTTTATGGTATGTACACTAAGTTTAAATGTAACACGAAGAATTATTTATCGAGATGAGTGTTTATGGTATGTACACTAAGTTTAAATGTAACACGAAATATCATTTATCGGGACGAGTGATTATAGTATGTTGATTTTGTGATGTATTTGTTTAAGACGTTGCGATGAGTGTTTATGGTATGTACACTAAGTTTAAATGTAACACGAAGTATTGTTTATCGAGATGAGTGTTTATGGTGTGTAGACTAAGTTTAAATGTAACATGAAGCATTATTTATCGAGATGAGTGGTTATGGTATGTAGACAAATTTAAATGTAACACGAAGTATTCTTTATCGAGATGAGTGTTTATGGAATGTAGACTAAGTTTAAATGTAGCACGAAGGATTATTTATCGAGATGAGTGGTTATGGTATGTAGACAAATTTAAATGTAACACGAAGTAGTATTTATCGAGATGAGTGTTTATGGTATGTACACTAAGTTTAAATGTAACATGAAGTATTCTTTATCGAGATGAGTGTTTTTAGTATGTAGACTAAGTTTAAATGTAGCACGAAGGATTATTTATCGAGATGAGTGGTTATGGTATGTAGACAAATTTAAATGTAACACGAAGTATTCTTTATCGAGATGAGTGTTTATGGTGTGTAGACTAAGTTTAAATGTAGCACGAAGTATTCTTTATCGAGATGTGTGTTTATAGTATGTAGACGAAGTTTAAATGTAACATGAAGTATTCTTTATCGAGATGAGTGTTTATGGGATGTAGACTAAGTTTAAATGTAACACGAAGTATTGTTTATCGAGATGAGTGTTTATGGTGTGTAGACTAAGTTTAAATGTAACACGAAATATCATTTATCGGGACGAGGGTTTCTAGTATGTTGATTTTGTGATGTATTTGTTTAAGACGTTGCGATGAGTGTTTATGGTATGTACACTAAGTTTAAATGTAACACGAAATATCATTTATCGGGACGAGGGTTTCTAGTATGTTGATTTTGTGATGTATTTGTTTAAGACGTTGCGATGAGTGTTTATGGTATGTAGACTAAGTTTAAATGTAACACGAAATATCATTTATCGGGACGAGTGTTTATAGTATGTTGATTTTGTGATGTATTTGTTTAAGACGTTGCCGAGGACGGGACATCAAACCAATGATGATATGTATAACTAGCCTGTAGTCCATTGTTAAGATATTCTATGACGATGTTTAAAGTTAACTGAGTTTAGATAGTTTAGACCATTACATCCCCATTGGTACAGTTAGGTCTGTATTACGGTCACGTTATTGATCATTGTACATATACCTCATTGTAGACATAGAGCTCAATCGTTTTACGTATGTCACAGTTTAGACTTGCAACCTATCTTTGTATGTAGATCTTATTGTATAAATATAATCCCGTTTTTTAGGTCATATTAAATGGGTATGTAAATATAATGTCATATGTGAATAACCTTTTTGACCTTCATATCCCTCTTATTTTATATGTAGTTAGTTTATGTGGAGTATGTGAGACGGACGATGTCCATAAAGTCTGTGGAAATGCCGAGTTTTCGTTGACCAGGCCGTACTGCTTTAGGAAATCTATGTACCGCGCGGGCGGAGCGGTTAGGGTACAGAAAGGGTAGGTATACCGACACAGAACAAAGACCAGTATCGATACTTAGGGAATTTATCGATTATATTTTGAAACCGATAGTTTTAATTAAGTCTTCGGACATTGATATATATATAATGACTTAAAACATCATTACATACATCAAAATAACAAAATGCGTTGCAATCCCATTTTCAATGACTTACCGTTACCGATCAGTACATTAGATATACGTGCACGTAAGTTGACGAAGCACCGTCAAGGCAACTTCTCAGCAAACGAGGGCGGAAGTACCAATCTTCACATGGTTGGATAGTTGATAACCAGAAGCGAGACGGGAACGGATACATTTTATAAACAACATACAGAATAAAACATGTGATGTCAAGGGGGTTAGAAAATGGTTTGGTATTTGATGACGTAAATTCAAGAATATAAGCTGTACCTAGAAGATGACGGACTTACGAGTGTATGTGATAGATCCATATGATGACTGGAAGTACAAGAATATTAGCTGTATCCATTGTAATTGCCGGAAGTACTAGATAATTGAATGCATCTTTATGATGTCTTCATGTACGAGTATTTTAAATGCATTTTTAAGAACTTTAGGATAACGGGAGGTAGGGAAGTGCTGATGGCATCTTTTAAGGAATGCAAATCCTAACATATGGAATGTTTCTAGCAACTTTGTTGTTTATTGATACAGATATATGGATTGAACGGCGTTTTTTAAAAGTTTCATGCCGGTTTAAACGCAAATAGTTTACGAAGCCCGCTATGGCTTCATGTTTAATATGGATGTAACTGATTTGCGTTCATATCGGCATCAACATTAGAAAACACGCCGTTTAATCCATATATTTACATTTTTACTATAGAACAAATGTTTAATCTTATTAAATTGTTCCTAAATAGTTTATTTATTACCGCGTTTTGTTTATGCGTCGATCTTAGACATTGGCGGAACAGCCCTATTTTTATCAAATTGACGCTAATAATTAACCGTGGTCATTTGAGTGTTTGACGTAGGGCATTCTCCATGTTAACCGAACCGAAGCGAAAAGACTCATTGAACAAGGTTAATCCATGACGTCATAAGTAAACCACGTGATACCTCACGAGAGTTTTTGCTTTTATACTCAAATATTTCAATTCACACTTAAAATGGACTCAATACAACAACCAAATGTAACCTGTTTCATTTGCCGATGAATTTGACCAGATTAAAATTGCCTGTGCGTATGATTTTGCGAAGGGAGATAACTATTGACATGTTTACACAAAGAAGGTACCACTTGAGATTTTACATTTTTATTGAAGTAACACAAGAAATGGTTCGAACAACCAACAACGACATATCAGCAACATGTTATCAGCTCACGGTGGTGACAGGTCATGTACTTCCCTCTTGTTACCCAGTCTGTCTATTGTGTCAGTATTACCCCCGGTACAAATCGAAAACAACGTAGATCATTGTGGTCCCGTCTTATATGAAATGCAGTCAACAGCCAACTGCTATATCAAATTGGTTCGTCCTTTCAAGCCACGCATGGTTTCCTGTCTAATTCGACATTCAATTATTACAGCTTCACATTCCAGAAGATGTAGGACCTCGAAATTAAGCGGCTCCCCTCTTCGAGCTAGTAAAAAAAATGGCTGCCGTAGACTCGCAGCGGAGCCTGCGCATCCGCGTCTAGACATTTTTCTTCCGCGATGACGCGTTAGAAATTTGATATCTTGTGAATTCATCAACAAGAGCTAAATATGACATTTAAAATAAGGTTTTCTGTTTTGTTTCTTAAATAATTTGGATGTATTAAACTATCAACGTACACCGTCATGTTGCATGATGGTCCATCAATGACGGACTATACTTTTTACATTACGTCAATGCGTAGACTTGCGCAAGCTCCAGAACCTAGGGCAAACTATCAAAATGGAATTCACAAGCCCAATTATTGAAATATAAGGTTTAAATATTGCTTTGGTCGATTTCATAGGGTGATGAATTGAGTTGGTCTTGAAACAAATTCAACATGATCTGCGAAGCAGTTCATTAAATTTGTTTCAAGACCAAATCAATTGCACGGTTAATTGCACGGTTCCATCGCAAATGTAAATATAGTCGGATTGATTTCCTAATTCAACAGTTTATCTTTTGTTTATCGAAAGGGTTCTCTATCGCCTAACAGGTATGCCAGTGAGGCGGAGTGTCGCGCCAATGCCGCTCTGAGTAGCGTCAGTATCCCCGCATGTCGTCACGCTCACCCTCCAGCCGGGACAGTTTGTTACGACTGCTGTATCTCGTGGAACTGTCGACCCGATCAGGAGCTGTGTAATGAGAACTTCCCCGTGAATGTCTCCGACATAGTGTTTGGAGGTTCGGCTTTATGTAATCGTTCTTTACTTTGAGAAATAATTGCATCATTGTTGCAATGAATATTTACAATCAGGAGAATTGAAGGATTGTGGTTATAGGGACCACGGAACCAAATCAAAAATAGATTGTGGGTTTTTCCCTTTTGGCCAGAAGATTTAATAGAAAGGTGAATGCCTCGGGGCCTGCTGGTTGGATATTAAGGTGGCAGAAGTTTCAAAAGTTTTATGTGTGGGTTGAGCAACATATATAGATGTAATATGTATAAAAAAAAAATCAAAAACAATCAAGTCTGGTTTTGTCTGGGTGAGTTTATTAAGTGTGTAATTTGTTGTAAATTTTGTTTGATTTTTGGTGCCGAATTCAATACAAGATAGCAGCCCCCATATAAGAAGAAGTTCAAATTGGCAGAATTTTTATTTTTTTTTATTTACAGTTGTGTGAGATGCTATTCTTCAAAATGAGGTCAGGTAAACCAGTGTGGATAACCCCATTTAACCAGGACAGTGGTAAACGTTAACACTATCGTCTATGGAAAATCATTTGGTTCCGCGGTCCCTATAGGTATATTTATTCACAATCAGGGTCTCGTTGTCCTCAATAATATATTGATGTTTTACGTGAATTTGTCGTTCAGATAATCAGGATTTTAACTTCTTGGCCCAGTATTAATATCACATTAATACCTTTTTCTTTAAATACTGACCATGTTTATTGATGATAAACTCATTTTTTATTCTAATCACAAAACCAAATTTGACTTCAGGTCGACCAGGAATAGTCACAGCCGCACCTACAACATTACCGACGACAACGACAACTCCAACGACGACGACAACAACTCCAACGACGACGACAACAACTCCAACGACGACGACACCAACTCCAACGACGACGACAACAACTCCAACGACGACGACGACGACAACAACTCCAACGACAACAACAACTCCAACGACAACAACAACTCCAACGACGACAACAACTCCAATGACAACAACAACCAGCACCACTACCGCGGCATCCACTACAATGATGCCGAGGGGTATATTTTTATACATGTGATATATTTATTAATTATGGATTTTAATTGAGGTGGATATGTTTTATATGAAAACGGGAAGTAATATTGACCGACAGGAAGTCTATAATTGTTATATTAGATGCTAAATAATGTTTAACCATTTAAAATGATGTGCCGTATTCAAATTTTACGGAGGAAAGTATTACATTTGGCAGAAAGCATTGTGACAATTGGAATGACATCATAGAATTAATATTAACCTGTTTCTAAAAATAGTAAGACCAAGTGAATGTCACCAATTATCGACCTCTATACATAATTATGATCAAGCCAGTGATATGTAGGAAATATATGTTATAAATGTATTATTGTATTCACACTAGACAACAGTACCAATTCAAAATGGTTTTATGATTCAATAAAAGCAAGTGTGTAGTAATATTAACAGTACCGTTACACGACATCTAAACCCCCTCCCCATCTGTGGTAAACGTTAACCCCCCCAAACCCCCCCCCCCCCCCAACCCCCCCCCCCCCCCTCCAAACACACACACACACACACAAACAACCCAAAAAACCCCGAGATTATATAATGAACGGTTAAAAAACATATACATACATTTTATTAAACCTTTTTTTGAAATTATCAACAAGAAATCACCCTGTTTAAAGAAATTTAAGTCCGCGTATTCAACATTTAACGGTTGCACTTTCAATTTTCATTAACCCATCTCGTTGAAAGTCTAACCGCTTCGTGGTCTGATTGTTTAACGGTCAGCTATCTCCGCGAACCCGGAATACATTTCTGACATTTTATAAACCAGTTAGAAGTGCGCTCCGGGCGCGGGTCGCATATCTCCCGCATATTATAGAGGGCCGGAGTTCTGATGTTAATCGACGACAGACCGATATGAAAAATGTCGATAAAACGTCAGAACAATTCGGACTACAGGTTCAGGTAGTTTATCCTTTACATTTTGGATTTTTGGAACATCTCATAAAATTGCCAGTACTCTGCAGGAATGATAGGCAATGAGCACGAACAAAGAAGAACCTGCTTTGTATGCTCTGTAATTGGAAGCGTTTCTGTTTATCGTTTTGGCAAAGGCAAGTCATCGATCACCTAATGTTGTCTGCAAGTAGCTGGCAAACACTTCATCGTTCTGAAGGTGGATATCCAGGTTGTTCTTTTGTATGTTGTACATTTGATATCCTTCAGTAGAACCTGTTTTCATTTGTCATCAAAATTTGTGTTTGTGGTGTACGATTTTGACATGTTCTTGAGATCCAAGAAATCCCAAAGCTTCAACGGTACATGACAGAGTATGGATTTGTGCGCCTTTACTAGTGAACTACAGTATCCCATTAACGAAAACTGACGTGTGCTTCTTTGCAAACTCAATTGCTGAATGCATAGAATTGCAGTCTATCCGGGTGTGTCTGGGTTCATAAACTTCTGATCGACGGTTTGTATGGTCGCGCTCGAGGAAAGAGTACAACATGTTATAACAACACCGCTTTCTCTTGTATAGGCATAGTTCAAACGGTTACATATCAAATGTGGCCACGTGAAAGGGGGGGGGGGGGGGGGGGGGGGGGGGGGGGAGGGAAGGTCAATCTGTTTACCATACATATTGTCAGAGAAAATCAGCACTGAGTAGTGGGTTACAAATATGTCATTGTTTTGATGAAAATGTTGGCGTGCATTTGTGTATTATTTTCAGGCAGTAAGTGCCAGGTATGTCGTAAGTCGGGAGCAGAGAACTGCTACCTTGATCAGGAACAGTACTGTCCGGCATCCAAACCACTGTGTATGAACACCATCATGTTTAAGGAAGATGGGTCCAGGAGTGTGGAAAAAACGTTAGTATGGCAATAGTAAGAATAGCTAGAAGTGTGGAGAAAACGTTAGTGTGTTAATAGAAACAATGCCTAGGATTTTTTTTTTGAAAAAGTGAGTATGTCGATAAAAAAACAATAGCTAGAAATGTAGGGGAAATCATGAATATGTCGACAGATACAATAGCAAGGAGTTTAAAATCAACGTGACTATGTCAATATAAATAACAATTAGGAGTGGGAAAAATTGTGAGGAGGTTATTAAAAAAACAATCAGGAGTTTATCAACAACTTGGAATTTAAAAAAAACTGAAAATGAATACAATACAATATCCTTTGTAGGACAATGTGCAAACTGTGAAAACGTAGACCAATGAAATACTTTCTTTATATGGACTGACGTATGACACTGTTTCTATGGTTACAGTTGTGAGACAGATACGAGGTGTTACTGGTCGTACTGGGTAGGACAACAGAACGACCCGGTCTGTAGAAACATCAGTAATGGTGCCAACATCACTAAGAACGTCTGTCACTACTGTTGTAAGACCGAGCCTAGCAAGCTCTCCTGTAACGTACCCGACTTCCCCCTCGTCAACCCCATCATCTACCAAAAACCGGCCAACCCTACAGGTAAGTTTTGTGCTAATGATCTGCGGGTAGCAGTCCATTCCACTAAAGACGTACCATAGACATACACTCTCGCGGGATCCAAACTTTTACGTTTTTGAACAGCAACTTTCTGGATACTGAGTTCAATCTATCCCTGTACTGGGCTATTTTGTGTTCACACAATCCCTGTACTGGGTTATTTTGAGTTAAAACACTCCCTGTACTGGGTTATTTTAAGGTTTAAACAATCCCTGTACTGGGTTATTATGAATTCAAACTATCCCTGAATTGGCTGTTTTTAAGTTCAAACAATCCCTGTACTGGGTTATTTTGAGTTCAAACTATTTTGAGTTCAAACAATTCATTAATGGGTTATTTCGAGTTAAAACAATCCCTTTATGGAGTATTTTTTAGTCCAAACAATCCCTATGCTGGACTATTTTTAGTCAAACAATGCTTGTCCTGGGTTATTTTGAGCTAAACAATACCTGTGCTTGGTAGTATATGTGCAAACACTGCCAGTACATGGTCATTAGTATTTTTGCGACAGGGAATATATCTGTTAATTTGTATTTTTCAACAGGGAATATGTGTGTTACTGGCGAGAAATACGCAGGCTATTATTACGTTAACTGTAGTGCTGACAAGCCTTACTGTTTGAACGAAATCTTCTACGAAAGAGGCGCCATAGTGGACGTCAACAAAAGGTAGGTATACTATCACAGAGGAACCATAACGGACGTCAACAAAAGGTAGGCATACTATCACAGAGAAACCATAGTGGACGTTAACAAAAAGGTAGGCATACTATCACAGAGGTATCATAGCAGACCTCAACAAAAGGTAGGCATACTATCACAGAGGTATCATAGCGGACGTCAACAAAAGGTAGGCATACTATCACAGAGAAACCATAGTGGACGTCAACAAAAGGTATGCATACTTTCACAGAGGTATCATAGCAGACGTCAACAAAAGGTAGGCATACTATCACAGAAAAACCATAGTGGACGTCAACAAAAGGTAGGCATACTATCACAGAGAAACCATAGTGGACGTCTACAAAAGGTGGGCATACTATTACAGAGAAACCATAGTGGACGTCTACAAAAGGTAGGCATACTATCACAGAGAAACCATAGTGGACGTATACAAATGGTAGGCATACTATCACTGAGGAAATATAGTGGACGTCTACAAAAGGTAGGCATACTATTACAGAGAAACCATTGTGGACGTCTACAAAAGGTAGGCATACTATTACAGAGAAACCATTGTGGACGTCTACAAAAGGTAGGCATACTATTACAGAGAAACCATAGTGGACGTCTACAAAAGGTAGGCATACTATCACAGAGGTATCATAGCGGACGTCAACAAAAGGTAGGCATACTATCACAGAGGAACCACAGTGGACGTCAACAAAAGGTAGGCATACTATAGGTAGGCATACTATCACAGAGGTATCATAGCGGACGTCTACAAAAGGTAGGCATACTATCACAGAGGTAGCATAGCGGACGTCAACAAAAGGTAGGCATACTATCACAGAGGAACCATAGTGGACGTCAACAAAAGGTAGGCATACTATCACAGAGGAACCACAGTGGACGTCAACAAAAGGTAGGCATACTATTACAGAGGTATCATAGCGGACGTCTACAAAAGGTATGCATACTATCACAGAGGTATCATAGCGGACGTCAACAAAAGGTAGGCATACTATTACAGAGAAACCATTGTGGACGTCTACAAAAGGTCGGCATACTATCACAGAGAAACCATAGTGGACATCAACAAAAGGTAGGCATACTATAGGTAGGCATACAACACAGATAAACCATAATGGACGTATACAAATGGGAGGCATACTATCACTGAGGAAATATAGTGGACGTCTACAAAAGGTAGGCATTCTATCACAGAGGAACCATAGTGGACGTTAACAAAAGGTAGGCATACTATCACTGAGGAACCATTGTGGACGTCTACAAAAGGGAGGCATACTATCACAGAGAAACCATAGTTGACGTCTACAAAAGGTAGGCATACTATCTCAGAGAAACCATAGTGGACGTCTTCAAAAGGTAGGCATACTATCACAGAGGTAGCATAGCGGACGTCAACAAAAGGTAGGCATACTATCACAGATAAACCATAGTGGACGTCTACAAAAGGTAGGCATATTATGTCAACAAAAGGTAGGCATACTATCACAGAGGTATCATAGCGGACGTCTACAAAAGGTATGCATACTATCACAGAGGTATCATAGCGGACGTTTACAAATGGTAGGCATACTATCACTGAGGAAATATAGTGGACGTCTACATAAGGTAGGCATACTATCACAGAGAATCCATAGTGGACGTCTACAAAAGGTAGGCATTCTATCACAGAGAAACCATAGTGGACGTCTTCAAAAGGTAGGCATACTATCACAGAGGAACCACAGTGGACATCAACAAAAGGTAGGCATACTATAGGTAGGCATACAACACAGATAAACCATAATGGACGTATACAAATGGGAGGCATACTATCACTGAGGAAATATAGTGGATGGCTACAAAAGGTAGGCATACTATTACAGAGGTATCATAGCGGACGTCTACAAAAGGTATGCATACTATCACAGAGGTATCATAGCGGACGTCTACAAAAGGTATGCATACTATCACAGAGGTATCATAGCGGACGTCTACAAAAGGTATGCATACTATCACAGAGGTAGCATAGCGGACGTCAACAAAAGGTAGGCATACTATTACAGAGAAACCATTGTGGACGTCTACAAAAGGTCGGCATACTATCACAGAGGAACCATAGTGGACGTCTACAAAAGGTAGGCATATTATATATAACAGAGTAACCATAGTGGACGTCAACAAAAGACAGGCATACTATTACAGAGAAACCATAGTGGACGTCTACAAAAGGTAGGCATTCTATCACAGAGAAACCATAGTGGACGTCTACAAAAGGTAGGCATTCTATCACAGAGGAACCATAGTGGACGTTAACAAAAGGTAGGCATACTATCACAGATAAACCATAGTGGACGTCTACAAAAGGTAGGCATTCTATCACAGAGAAACCATAGTGGACGTCAACAAAAGGTAGGCATATTATATATTACAGCTCTTTGCCGTCTCTGTTTACTAATATGCAGTTGTGTATTTAATCTCAGTCAATTAGTTATACATGAGAGATGTTGATTTAGTCGCAGTTTTCTATTATTATAATACCCAGATGTGCTTCGAAAACTACGTGTATCGGGGAATGGTGGAATAAGAGCCGGAAGACGTATGCGTGCGCAACCGGAGATGTGTCAAACTTCACTGCGTCTGATCAAAATCTCGTCTGTGATATATGCTGTCTCTCGGATGCTTCTGGTCCTTGTAATATAAAACACCGCCCTGATGAAATCTACCAATTCAAGATAGAAACAACACCGGCACCGGGTAAACAGCCATTTATATCTATAAGCATGTATTGTCGTATCGTCATTGACTATAGTACATCACATCACGTACACAGCCATTTATATCTACAATCATGTATTGTCGTATCGTCATTGACTATAGTACATCACATCAGGTACACAGCCACTTATATCTATAATCATGTATTGTCGTATCGTCATTGACTATAGTACATCACATCACGTACACAGCCACTGTTGGTTTATAAAGTCTTGTACTGTCATATCGTCATATACAATGGGGAATATTTGCATTAATTCTTCACACATACTGTCACTATTTAGGAACTTAGTACAATTCGTCTTTTTAATACATTTCCATGTTGTGGTATGTTTCCAGTGTCGTCTATTCCGACGACCACGCCTACCTCGCCACACCTCCCAACGTCAGGTTTGTAAACTGTATAATCAGATCCAAATAATATCGTTCACAGTTCATCATAGCTCAGCTTGTTTTGTAATACTATTGGCTTTTTCTATAATATATTGTAATAAATAATTTGATTTCGTTTTGAATCCATCAGTATTTATCTGAATCCTTTTTCTATTTCATTTAAATGCTTACCCTATTAAAAATCTATCTTTGTATTACAGCTTTGCCGATAACTAAAACCTCTAGTGTCTCCGGGCCCAATACGCCTGCGTCCACTTCTCCTCAGAGGATTTCAACACCACAGCCCACCTCAGCATCAACCGAATCATCGCCTACAACACCACAGTCTACCTCAACGTCTACCAAATCCACCACAACACCAAGGTCAAGCACACCATCCACCGAATCCACTACTCATACCCAGCCTACTACACAGGCGCAATGTGAGCATACTTTTTGTATGAAATTTAAAATCAATCGACAACCAACATAAACATAAACATCCCTCCGCCTGAAATATAGTAAAGAGCTCCAAAACCATAGCAACCATCAAGCTCTGTGTGGTCGCTATATATATATGGTTAAGAACTGACTTTGAAACAATGTACATCGTCAATGGAATGATTTGTGGTTGCTATAGTTTCATGGTAGTATGAACCCAATTCTTAAATAAACTCTTACCTACAATGTACATCATGGATGGAGGGATTTTCGGTTGCTATAGTTTCATGGTAGTATGAACCCAATTCTTTAATAAACACTTATCTACAATGTACATAATAGATGGAGGGGTTTTCAGTTGCTATAGTTTGATGGTAGTATGAACCCTATTCTTAAATAAACACTTACCTACAATGTAAATCATAGATGGAAGGATTTTCGGTTGCTATAGTTTCATGGTAGTATGAACCCCATGTCCATCATAGATGGAGGGATTTTCGGTCGCTATAGTTTCATGGTAGTATGAACCCAATTCTTAAATAAACACTGACCTACAATGTCCATCATAGATGGAGGGATTTTCGGTTGCTATACTTTCAAGGTCAAGCAAATCATCCACCGAACCCACTACTCATACCCAGCCTACTTCACAGGCGCAATGTGAGTATACTTTTTGTATGAAATTTAAAATCAATCGACAACCAACATAAACATCAATGATTTGCCATAAATTCACTAATGAAAATATCATTTTCCTCCGCCTGAAAAATAGTAAAGAGCTCCAAAACCATAGCAACCATCAAGCTCTGTGTGGTCGCTATAGATACATGGTTAAGAACTGACTTTGAAACAATGTACATCGTCAATGGAATGATTTGTGGTCGCTATAGTTTCATGGTAGTATGAACCCCATTCTTAAATAAACACTTACCTACAATGTCCATCATAGATGGAGGGATTTTCGGTCGCTATAGTTTCATGGTAGTATGAACTCAATTCGTAAATAAGCACTTACCTACAATGTAAGGAGGGATTTTCGGTTGCTATAGTTTCAAAATGATGTCAGTATTTAGTTGCCTTCGTTACCGCTCACAATATAGCTATGACAGTAAATCCCTTTGTTTCAGCAAAACCTGTACTAGCTGCATTTTAGTATAGATTTTATAAACTTAATTCATGTAATTTGTCAATTGGGTTAACAAACAGTTTCCATATAAATGGAGAACAGAACATGTCCATAAAAGATAATAAATTAAAAGGTCAGGTGGCCATGGTCTGCCCGTATATAACATACACGGAAACCCGAGATGAAAATAGAATCAGAGAGGAATCCGAGATTAAACAATCGTGAATAATTGATTTTGTCATAAAGCAAAATCACGTCACTGACTGTGAGAATTCTAATGTATTTGAATGAGTGAACAACAAATTAAAACGGCAGATAAAGCGAACTATGTTCTGAATTAAGATGAGGGCACATAACAATA